GATCCTGTCAGCTTTCTTCATACCACATCAGCCGCCAGGTAGATGTCCATAATGGAATATGTTCTACGGTCATTTTCAGCATGCGAGCCCAGCAAAAATATCAGTCAGGGCCCTAGGTGAGTATTTGTCGAGCAAAAGCGGAAATACATGACTTCCCTTAACTATTGCGGGTGTCCTTCAGGAAATGAGGCACATTATAGCACCCTCAGCTATTTGGAAGTCCTCTTGACTCCAACGGCACAGTCTCAACCATCCAAGTGAGGCCCCAAACGAAATTGGTATCCAGTGCAATACCGTCAGCCCGCATCAAACATCTTGCCGGCATCACTTCGGCTTCTCGCCAGGATCAATCAGTTTTCCGGCCACTTCCGGATGGCGATCCTGTCAGCTTTCTTCATACCACATCAGCCGCCAGCTCGATGTTCATAATGGGATATGTTCTGGGGTCGTTTTCAGCACCCAAGTCCAGCAAAAATACCAGCCACGGCCCTAGATAAGTATTTGTCGAGCAAAAGCGAAAAATACTTGGCTTCACTCACGTATTGTGTGTGTCCTTTGGGAAATGAGGCACATTATAGCACCCCCAATTATTTGGAAGGCCTCCTGACCCCAACGGCACAGTCTCAGCCATGCAAGTGAGGCCCCAAACGAAATTGGCATCCAGTGCAGTTTACAGGGCATTCTGTCATCCCTGATTACACCTCCCGTCCGATCCCTTCATCGGCTGACAATTTATTGCAGCGCGTACATCAAATGTTGTGATTCGAACATCGCGCTCGCAACCGGTCCTTTCTTGGGAAAGAATGGAGCGCAGAGTTGACACTTGTAAGTCCTCCTGCCCATTGCACAATCATGGCACTCTCATGCATACAATCCACAGCTTGACGTGCCACAGCAAGGCTCCACTGTCAATTGCGGGGTATATGTGATTTGGTTTGCCAAGCAACTCGCTTCAGGGCACCCCGACCTCAGTTCCTGGAAATTTACCAGCGGTGATTCGGATCTCGAACGAATCCGCATAGCCAACCGACTCTCCGCCGCAATACACGCCGACGTCCCGGAACGCAATGTTCGCCAGATGCATGCACTAGGTATCTCACTGCCGGCTAATGTGAAGGAAAAAGACCCTCTTGGACGAGAGGAATATACACTTCACCTCTTGATGGTTGAGGCCATGCACCCTCGGTTGGCTTCGACGAACATTACACGCTTGCCATCTCTCGAAACCTGGTCTGCCGCGCAGCATCAGCGTCGCACTGTGTGAGTTTTATCTACGCGCCTACTGCAGTCTACTCACCAGTTTCTTTCTGATTGGGGTCTGCAGCCCGGAGGTTGGCTCGTGCGTCCTGTTCCCCTTTGCTGCTGATCCGACATCCGACACAATGGCTTATCCTGCCCTTGTCACCCACATCGATGACTCGAATCTGGAGTACCTGCGTGTTGCTCTAGAGTGGTTCCCCGGGATTTACGGTGGCGTGCCCGAGGGCACAGGCCTTCTCGATTCGGTCAGCTTGGAAGCCTGTGAGTACTCGGGCTTACCAAAAGTGACCGGAATCGTAAATGTAGTGTTTCTGATGGAAGATAGCCCTTTTTGGAGAAAGTAACTGACCTGACAGGGTCAATTGAAGGTCAATATACTCCCCAGTAACCTTAACTGGAGGATATCCTGCAAATAGAGGCAGCAAGTGAGTGGATGTTTGCCACATTATTTGAGTTGCGGAGCAGAATTGAACACCATTAAAAGTTTTTTCATTCACTGACTGTCCCAGCATTCTTTCCTCCTGCGTTGTCTGTGATCAGTTCGTAATAAACATTCTTAAAAATCGTCTTAGAGATCTCCAGCCATCTATGATTATTAATGCAGCCACAGCATACATTTTTGTGAGAGTGTCGACAGTTTTGATCTTCATCATTTGTGGCTGACGTCGTGCGCTAATGTTACTGGTATTTTGAGTTTGGATGAATGAGACATGTTTTCTGGATGCAAGACTACATGTACATGTGCATAACTCCATCAAAAACTGCAAATTATACCCCTGAAAATCAGAATTCCGGTCACTTTTGGTAAGCCCGAGTACAAATTCTGTACTTACTCATTGTGAATGATTCCCTGTTGAAGTATTGAAAAAACAACGATAATGTCTCCAGGGCTGAACTTCCCTGTGCGAATCTGGGGGTCTGCTGTTTTGTGGAGGCTACATTGTGCCACAATTAATTTACTGCGGGCTGCAACACCAATATCCCCCATTAATCTTACGAGTACGTGCCTGGTGGCCGCATTGTTTGTCCCACTTACGTAATTATTTGTATGGATCTGGTCACGTGTTCGCGTCGCGTCGCGCATGTCAACAATAAGTTTTGGGCTCCCCCTCGCATAAAACTGGTGTGTTCTGAAGCAGTCTGACATATTGTGATATGTTCCACATCGATATGTAGAGTTCCGGGGTTAATAGAGACTGTAAATTCGCGATAATAGGCTCAATCTGCGGGAAATGAGGTCAGAGACTAGTAATCACCGAAGGGAAATGTCGTTGGGTATTCATCTAGGACATGGATTAGGGTATGGAAGATTATAGTACAAGGTGGGATCGAGGTACAGCAGCGGGGATGAATGGTGGAGAAAGGTGACAGGACGGGCATGTGCGGGACAGGGTGACCATATCGGGGACAAGATTTTGATCGGATCTGACATTCCTCATTTTTGCAGAAGGAACACGTCGTTAATGCTGTGAGAGTGATCGCCCTGATCCACGAAGCCTTGTTAAAGGACTTAGGACGTTGAATAAACCCGTATCTCTCTTGTGAACTCCGTGATCTGAGGAGAGTGCTGGGCGGGGTTGAAATTCTGGGGACTGCACATGTGGTGACAAAAGGGGGGTGAGTAAATCGCTCGGCCAGGTGTATTTATGCTGCGGGATGTAGGACCTTACTAGAATTTCGCCCAGTTTTTTAGATAACTTGGGATGAGCAGCGTGGCTACGAAAGAGAATCTAAAAATCTTCCCCGATAATTCAGAGCTTCGGCGGGATTTGAACCCGCGTCTCGTGATCTACATTGATCCACGACGCCTGCACTGAAAGGCTCCGGCGTTGGACAACTCAACAACAATTCATATTTGACGGTTCCGGTTGTACGGCCTGCTTGACGCTCATCTGATACTTACAGTAAATTTGCACTGTATGTATCAAGATCCATCCTTTGCTCTGATGAAGCGAAATCCCGGCGCCCACCTCGGCTTTTTCGGACCGGGATCAGTCGACCCGAGTCGTGACGTGACGCGTGACACTTTGCTTTCTCTACAAGCAATATTCTTCATGGTTAGCCGGGCAGCCAGGGGCTTGAGGAAAGCTTTGAAGATGAAGAGGCTCGTAATTCTGCTATCCTTTCAACGCCTGGACTTAGTATTCCCCCAGTTCCCCCTCAATGTTAGTGAATTGCACTGTGAAAACTTTCCACCCGCGCCATCTGGAGACGCACGACTTCATCAGCGCCCCGCGGATGAGCGTCCTCCAACTGCGGCTCCCCACCACAAAAGATGAAGACCCCGTGCACATCTCCCTCCGCCGGCTCGGTTTTGCGACTACAATCGCCGAAGAGCGCGTACACGGGTTCCTCTACTACCACCTCCCCTACCCGACCCAATTCCTCTCCGGCGGCCTACGTTTCCGCGCCTGCGCTGCGCCCACCCCCTCTGCTTTCGCCGCCGGGTACGACCTCCTCGAGCCCGCGGGCCTCCCCTGGACCGTCCCCCTTGCCCACCTCCTCGCGCGGAAGCGCTGCGAGCCCGCACAGCGCCTGCTCGTGCGCGACGGGATCCTCACCGACGCGCAGTCCGCCACCGCGCGCCGCATGCAGGCCGTGGCGCACACGCTTGACGACTGGGCCCCGACGTTCCTGCACGACCTCGCGCAGGTGTTCGTGATGGATTTTACGCGGCGCGCGGAGGTGTGTGTCCTCGGTCCGCACGCGCTCGTGCGCACCAGTATCTACCCCGCTGTCGCGCACTTCGGTGCGTTTTTCTTGTCCTTTTTACTGCCTTCAGTGCTCTGCCACGACAGGCTGACGCGCCACGCATGCAGGCTCCGCGCTCGTGCGCCTCGAGCGCACGACAAACGACAACGAACTGTGCGCGCGCGTCCTCCGGCCGCTCGGCGAATTCGCCTACCTTCCGCAGTTCGCGCACCTCCCGCCCGTGCACGCGGGTGTTCTCCTCCCGGACCCAGTGCCAATGGGCCACCGACGCGCACGCACGCCGCGCCCGTGGACCTGGACGTACGACGTGCGTCTCTTCTTCCTTCTTCCATTTCCTCTTCGTTCTTCCTTTCCTCCCCTTCGTTCTCTTATTTTCCTCCCTCCCCATCCTCCCTCCCTTCCCCGCCGCCCCCACTCACGCTTTATCACAATCAATTCCAGGACCGCTACCCCCCACTCGCCGCCGCTTTATACTGCCTCCTCAACCCCACGCAGCACTTTCCCCCGCCGCCGGGGCTCGACCTCCCCCCATCTGACCCGTCAGTAGGATCCGACGGCGTGCCGCTCGACGCGGATGGCACCCCGCTCGACGTGTTATCCTCGTCGCGCGGGGGAGATAGCAAATAGATGATATGAATGATTATGGGACGTGCTCCCCATATCTAGGTACAATACCGCAGAGCTACCTGGAGGTAAACCCAACGACGCCGACGCCGACGCCGACAGTGCTACGTGAGTCGAAGGAGAAGGAGGCGGAGGATCAAGTAAAGCGAAGTGAGGTGCACGCCCATACCGTCGTATTCATTACTACTACTGTCGTATTAGCTGCGCGCTGAACGCTTCCCGAGGAACGCAGCGTCGGTGCCAAATACTAATAGAAAGTCGACCACACGTGAGTCTGAATTGGCAGAGCGTGGAACTGAACTGTGATGGATGCTTTGGAGCGAGGTGCTGGATAACTCGACATGGAGGGAACCTTAGAACAATACGGACGAGCGGGGCCGCTAAAAAGGAGCTCTCCACAGCTACGGCGTCGGCGGGGGTCGAACCCGCGTGTCTCTCCTCAAACCAGAACTACGCCAAAGGCTGAGAACGATCTACGTTGATCTACGACGCCTTCATTATAGCAAGTCGGGACGTGAACGAATCCATGTACGATCGTGCGCCGCCGCCCCACGGAGAACTCCGCTGCGCGCGCCAGATTTTGGGTGGGTATCGATCCGGATATGGGGGATTACAAGGTCAGAGGAAAGCTTCTCTTGTATAGTTTCTGTGAAGCGGGATCAGAAAGGCTGTCAGGCGGGCGGCGGTTAGAGAGTGGGATCCATGATGGAAACGCAAAATCCACGGGGGCCGATGCAACAAAATCAAATCAGAGTGTCTGATCTCTTGTTGAATTCTGGTTCTGGTGCATCTTAATTAACGTGCTCCGAAACGATTCTGACTGGGATAAAGGCAAAAATACAACGCCAGATGTGGTTGGCTTGAGGTGCATCGAGATGCTCGTCGTCAGCAAGGAAACGGCCTTTCGGGTATTGTCGGCTATCTTTGACATCACGATCGGATCATTTCGGCATGGTGTCGAAGGACGCCCGGGATCCTTCACTAGGGCATGAAACCGTCCCGTAATTTTACGGAACCACGGGCCATAAAACGGTTACGACCCCGTACCGTGAGCATCTTATTGCTCAACTCATACGGTACGGGTACGCAACGGGTTGACCCATAAACGGGCTACCCGTAACCGTCCATTTACGCGTAAACAGCCACCCAAAATAGCAAGGGCTTACGGAAACTGCCGGGCACGGTACCTTAACATGACCAAAAGGAAAATTATAAAAGCATTACAAAACCGTGAATTGCCCGCCAACCCTGCAAGCTACGATTCCGCCAACCCTGCAGGCAACCAATTTACCCTGCTGTGTCGCTGGCAAGTTACCAAGCCAGGACCAGCCTGCCGTCTGCCAACATCAAGCATGTGCTCTGAGCATCCGAGAATGATTTTTCCAACAGTATTTAAGGCCTGAGTCTTCAGCTAAATATTTCAAGCCACTCGGAGTACTCAGCATGCCTGAGGCGCTTATAAATACGATGAACGCCCCCGCGGGTAACTTCTCCCAAGTGCGCCCATTTCTTTCTCCCCAACCTCCACTTCTTCATTAAATGTTTTCGTGCAGCACGCGGAACTCTATTCCCCTCCGGTCACTGATGAAAATCTGTAGGTTCAGCTGTCGCAGTCGAGCGGACTTTCTCGGGTGGTCGCGATACCATCGGACTGCGCTGGGCGAGCTTGAAGGCGGAAACGATTCAGACCCTTATGTTTGTCAAGGCCAGATTGAGGTTGGCACGCAAAGCGATTACTGATCTTGTTGGTGAGGAGGATGATTCCACCTAGTTACGCTACCTAGTTCTCTTTCGTGTTCCTTGTGCTGCAAGTTCTCAGATCAGAAAAAACCCGTAAAATACGCTGTATACGTACGGTACGTACGTTTCCCGTCTCGTTAGGGTCTCCGCCTCCGGTCTCGACGTACGGGTAGAGCCGTGGCGTATCAAAATTACGGCGTAAAAGTTACGGCCGTGGGCGTAAAACGGACGGTTTCATGCCCTATCCTTCACTGCACGCGTGAACCTTCCTATTTTCATACATCGGCTAAAGATCGCAGGCGATGGGAGCACCGGAGATATGGCCATTGTTTACTGTTGAGAATGTTATAAATTCGCCCCCACTCGACGGTACATCGCCAGACAAGTGGAGGACTTAGTGGGGACTCTGGGGAGGCTTATATCCCTCGCAAAAATCACCAGACCGCATGACGGGCCATGTAGAAAGAACCGCGATACAAGTGGCCTGGTGCCCCTCCCTCCGCGACCCAGATCCCGCAAATTACGATTAGATGGCGGCACCGCCTCGAGACAGCCATCGATTTTGAGTTCAGATTAAATGCAATAATACTTGCTGTAGGAATTATAATGCCTGGGAATATCCCTCATTAGCACCCGCAAGCACGGCTTACATGCGGGACAGACATACATGGTTTATCGGGGTGCAATGACGGTATCAGTCGCTTGGACTGGTCGGCTTCGATAAGGCGCCGTGAGGGTGAAAAAGGCCAGAGTGCCACTCGGCGGCACCGTCATACATGGGGTATTGAGGATCAGAAAACGAGTTGAAGTCGGGGGATCCAGCTGATATCCAGGGAAGCTGAAGTGAAGACCTCCCTTGCGGCGAACCTCGAGGGTACCGGAATTTATACGTCGCAGAAAACACGACGAATGAGGTTTCCTCCTTCACAACTTCGTGAAAAATTGTGAATCGGGTGGGATCTGGCCTCCATATTTCAGTTTTCGGTATGGAGGGCAAGATTAATATGCGTACCTGGACTATGTAGTATAACCTTCCAATATTTCGGGACCAATTGGGTGCTGTACAGGACAGCAGACGCGGTAGGTGGTTGCGACAGGCGGGAGAGCGGCACGGTCTCGGAGTGAAGGACGAGTCCCTCATAATATACTGTGAAGCGCGAGTGGGCGATGAGCGGTAAGCGCGATTTGAACGCGACGGTAGGATTTATGGATGCAAGGGAGCGGGGATGATCTGATGCGTGGAAAATTTCCCCGCCGTCCGCCCACGATGAATCATCAGTGGTGCTCCATGTTTCATCAGGGAAGCCTGAAGCGAGAATGTCGATGTAAATGACGGTATGGCGGGCCGACGACGTGGTGGAGAGTAATGAGTCGCCATGGATGGGTGAGATCGGCGAATGGAGGGGACTCTCGTCGGAGTCGTCGTCGATGGGTGTTCGGAAAGGAGATAGTAGACACAGCACTATGAGAAGGGTAATATGAGCGAAAGTCCCAGGGTAAGAGTTCGATAGCATACATTTCTTTCCTCCGCATGACTCCCGCAGCTGTTGCAGCCGACTGCTAACCTGTTTTGGGGAACGCCACTTCCCGGTCTTCTCAAAGATGTAGTCTGAAATAAATCGGTTCCGGCGCGGAAATCGGCCCAGCATCCGCGTTTCCCGGGAGTCATCAGGCTGATATTTCTCGAGGGCTTCATGCACTCGCTATAAGTATCGCATGCAGATGGTTATCAGCAGGAATGCCTACCTTCGAGCAATCGTGCCTCGAGTTCCACCGGCCACACCGTGTCCCCGCCGCGCGAGATCTTCCAGGTCTTACGCACTTTGAGGACAGATTCTAATAAATCGTTGACAGTCCCCAGTGGTCGCGTTGACAAAGAACCTGCACTTCCTGGCGAGGAGGGAAGGTCGGTAGATGGTGTGGATGGTGTGGAAGAGGTGTCGGACGCGCTGTCCACTATACGGTCGCATTTAAGCCAATCCATGAACGGTGGGTGGGCGATGGTCATGGATATCTACCCGATATTGCGGCTTTATACATTGACGCACAGGGTGGCAGCATCCTCCACGATTAGCTCGGCGGTTCGCCCAAGCCTGGGAGCGGTCTAAGCGCGGGCTGATGCAGCCCTTGTCAGTGCCAGGGACAGTTGTATAAACGTGGAGATGGGGCACTCCGAACCTGAAATCTAAAATTAGTCGAGCCAGAAAATCAGCCCGCTTGTCAGAACTCACGCGGCACCAGGTAATTTTACCGGATTTGGCTGAGCCGTAGATCCCGCCATGTCAAACTCGGTGGCAGCTTGACATCTGTCGAGAACGCTCCACAGCCACCGCTATTTCATAATACCGGTTGACAAAAGGGGAAGAGGCGCAGTTATAAACAGTGATTCGGTGCCGCCAATGCTCGACCTGCCCCAAGAGCGACGGATAATTGCGTTACAGAAGCATATAAACGACCGACTTGCAGGTTCCCCCCCCCCTTTGAATGAAGTCCTCGTGTTTTCAGCGCACCTGAAGATTGGCGTCCCTTGGCGCCTAGACATCGAGAAGCCAACGCATCTGCTGTCACCTGCGGCTGCCGTCCTTGAGCCGAACATGTGCTCCTATCGCCCACTCGGAGGAGCCTCTCTGCCGTCGATGGATCGGGAGCTTTCATAAGCGAGGAAGGAGGGAGGAAATAGATTCACTTGTGTCTAAGCATACTTAGTTATTGGAAGCACGCAGGAACAGTATTGTTTGACAACCTTAAGACTATCAACCTTCTGATACATGTGGTGGTTTCATAACACGGCGAGCGCTGAAGGACCCGAATGTTAACGGTTTTCACGTTATTATTAAAGTCAGTGCACGCACACCGAGAACCGCGGGGGTTAGGCAGGTGTCAATGAAGATCGGGTCGCTGTAACTGTGGAGATTCACGCCAGTCCAAGAGAACGAAAGCCGTGATGACGGTCTCGAGCTAGACAATTATTCCGGTGCGGGACGGAATAGAAGGCAAGCGCCTGAGAAAGTAAATTCCGAGGCCGGATAGAGATTGCCAGAGCATTACAGGAGCTACCCACTTATCATTTTGCAAACCGACTGAGTTGGGGATCTTGTCGGGTTCCATTTGGATGAAGTCTCAGGACGGCGAGCAGCTGATGGACGGTAGACGCTAGACCAAGAGAGTTTAGGGTAGAGGAAATTGAGGGACGGCGCTTAAGATGGTTCAGATACAGCCGCTCAGCCCTACCCAATCGGATGATCCCGCAGAAGTTCGGCAAAGACGTAAGGACAGACGCTCTCCGAGGAGGTCGACGTGGGAAGGAGGAGGCGTGTCCCAGTGATCACATCATCACGCTGCGGCAGGCTACGGCCCTCGCGACATTTGCCGCCACATTACGGCCGGCCCAAGCGGATTGCGCCTCAGGCGAAGATATTCTCATAAATACAGAGGCCCTCGGTTCGCGTATTTTCTTGACCCTGTTGGATCATTGGGTTGGCCGTCGCTGTGCACTGTAAAGCGTCTCAGCTTGACGGCAATTAGTGTACCGAGATGCCGTTCCCCGTCAACCTTGACCCATTCGTGTTCATTGTGCACAAGAACATCGTCGGCACAATATGGCAACCACAAATTTCGCTCACGCCAACAGGAAGCGAATATCTTTTTGATGGATATTCTGAGCTTGATCCTCTCCTCAGAAAAGTTCCATCCGCGGGTGTAGGATAGATTGACAACCGACAATGCCACATGAAAACACGAGTCATGTGGGGG